TTTGAGTTTAAGAATGAAATCTTAGAATATTTGAAGCTTTTCATTCAATAAATGTCTTTATTCCATTTATATTACAAAGGTAATTGACCTAATACTGTCAATTAAATATTTTTCGGGGGTCTTTTTTTCTCTTCATTAAACATTGTGAGTTGTAAATACTATTTTGGTTTCCATATGATATTGTTTATATGTTTATAAAATGCCAATATTAATAATATATATTAGCTTATTTCAGTTCTACTTAATTTATCTTTTATCTAGTGGTAATTTTGTAAATGACCCCCGGTTCGGTAACTTACATAACGTCCTATATCTTATGAAGTAAAAATTTTCAACATATGTATTTGATTTGATTTTAAAAGCTTAATTAATGCTTTTTCTAATGGTATAAAATATTTTGAAAATAACGATTAAATTTTTTTTTTGCTATGGGAGCCTATTATGTCATACGACGTGACCCAAACAGTTACTTTTCATACAAGGATCTCATACCAACAAAAAGTTTGCTTGTAACATGTATGTGTACATGAAAAGTATTTTTGAAACATAGTGACCTGCACTATTACTTTAATAAAACTTTGACATGTCACATTTTCGAATGTCACTTTTTATCTATAATGGCTACCTAACAACAATTTTTTTTTAACAAAAATAGAAAGTTGATTTTTGGTAGGTCAATATACAAAATCTGCAATTTAAGAAGTGAAAAGACATATTTTTTTAGTTTCTATAAATGATAGGCCTCCAAATTTTTAGAAGTTTACTGAAAAGATACAATTCAATAAAAAAATATGGTTTCTAAATATGGTTTCTATATATATATATATATATATATATATATATATATATATATATATATATATATATATATATATATATATATATATATATATATATATATATATATATATTTATATATATATATATCAAGTGGGACTAATATAAAATAAAATTTAATGTGTACTATTTTACTTAATAAGTACTATTGTATTTATTTTAGCTAAAATTTTTTTGTTTTATTTTTTATTTTATTTTATTTTAAATTCGTTTATTATTTTTGTTATTGCTTTTTATGAGAAATTGTCTATATAAATATTCTTGCGCTTGTAAGATGATAAGAATTTTTTTTTAATTAAATGTCATAGTTCTGATTTTGTAATTTTCTATCAGCACCCACTATTTTTTTTATAAAATCACTGTAATAAAGTCTATTAAATTAATAGAAAAAAATTCTTATTAAAATCAGTATTGATCAATTTATTATTTTCTAATCAGCATAGTTTTACAAAAGGCAAAAGTTGCACAACTAATCTCCTAGAGTATATGGATATAGTAACAACAGGTGTTGCAAATATTAAGTCGTTTGATATCCTTTATACTGATTTCAAGAAAGCCTTTGACAAAGTTTCACATAGGAGATTAGCACTAAAACTTGAAGCATATGGCATTACATCTACGTCATTGAAGTGGATAATTTCTTTTTTAACTGATAGAAAGCAAAGAGTTGTACTTGGAGAAAGTGTGTCATCATGGGTAGTCATAGTAAGCCGTGTACCACAAGGTTCTGTGTTTGGTCCAATTTTATTTTTAATATACATCAATGATCTTCTAAGTCAACTTACAAACCAGTTGTTGTTGTATGCAGATGATTGTAAAGTAATAGCTGAAGTTAATAATGAAACGGATGCACATGCTTTACAAAATGACATTTTTATGTTAGAAAAATGGGTAATACACTGGAAAATGCAATTCAATTTTGAAAAATGTAAAATCATGCATATTGGTAACAAAAATAAAAATTATAAATATTTCATGACTAACAATAATATAAAGCAAGATTTAACTACAACTAAATTGGAAAAAGATCTAGGCATATTAATCTTGAATGACTTAAAATGGGAACCACCAATCAAAATTGCATCATCTATTGCCAAATTTAAATTTGGTATAATATACAAATCATTTAAGTAAAAATAGTGAACTAATAAAATTGTTGTATTGTAGTTATATACGGCCGCATTTAGAAATCTGTACCTGAGCTACGTCATCTATCATAAGTGAAAGACTAGAAAAAATGAAATTAACATCTTTAAAACAACGAAGAATACGAGATCTCATACAAATGTACAAATGGTATTATGATATAGAGAAAATAACTTGGAAAATACTCCCTCAACATTCGTACTCTTTAAATTCTTCTGGTCCGTGTTCAAACATTTGACGAATAAACATCATTTATTCATCGATAAGAAATATTTAAATCGAAATCGTGAAGGTTTTTTTTACAAATCGCACAGTCAAGTTCTGGAACAATTTACCAGTTGAAACAATAGAAGTTAAAAATCTCAACTTATTTAAAACTAAACTAGACTTAATTGACTATCTTAAACTTTTTTGTTATGGTTGTAAAAGATTTAACATGGCGTTAAATTTCAACAGTATTGTATATTATATTATTATCTTCGGTTACTGGTGGTTTGAAGTGAATGCATAATTTCTTAAGTTTTAGCTTGAACCATTTTTAAGAGTCCATAATTTTTTACTGAATTGTATCATATCAGTAAATTCTAAAAATTTGGAAGCATTTATAGAAACTAAAAAATTATGTCTTTACACTTCTTAATTTGCAGATTTTGTATTTTCCCGTTAAAATCAACTTTCTATATTTGCAAGTATTTTTTTAGATTTTTAGGTAGCCATTATGGATAATATGTGACATTCGAAAATTCTATGTCAAAGTTTTAGTTTCATCAAAATCTAAGGTGTTCCATGTTTGACCTTGGTCCACTTAGCATGAATGACCCATTAAGATATTTAAGTTTAACAAGTTCCTATAAGAGTAAAGAAGCAAATTGAAGTAAAAACATCAAAAACAAACAACGCAAAATGACACATATAAATAGCGCAAAGCAAAAACAAAAAATGTATTTTAACTTTGAAAAACTATCTTAACTTTAGAAGTATTCAACTCATTTATTGAAAGGTCATAACATACATTTCTTTTATAACAATTTGTCATTCTCCCTTTTGTTATTATAGTGTTTGTCAAAATTTTCTTATTCTATGACATTTTATTCACAAAAAAGAAGAAAAATGAACAAATTTTTATAATAATATGTAGAAGTCAGGGGCGAATCGAGACCATTTACACCTTTTCAAGGTGTAATTGAGAACTTGAAAGTTATAATTAAGAAATGTAAGTTGTTTTTGAGAAGATAAAAGTTGTAATTGAGAAATGTAAGATGTAATTTAGAACATGATATTATAAGATGTAATTTAGAAAGTTGTAATTGAAAAGCGTAAGATATAACTTAGAGCATGAAAGTTGTAAGTAAGAAATCGTAATTGAAAACATAATAGTTGTAATTAAGAAAAGTTTATAATATAGATTCTTAAAACAAAGTTCTTTGTATTTTTAATTTTGTTATCTAAATTTAACTTGTAATTAAAGGTTGGTTCCTATATTGGACAAGGTGGCCATATGGGTTGGTTTTCTATAAATAATAATATACCATCAATAAAATAAAAAAGTGATGAAAAGGCATTTGCGGTTTTGGCAGTAGCTGGAAAAATCCTATCAGGATTTTTCCAGCTACTGCCAAAATTTATATAGTGCATTTGATTCAAAGCACTTTGATTTTATCTTAGATAAACTTTTTATTAGATAAACTTGAAAAATATTTTGTAAAGTTATTTTGTTTTCTATTCATGTTCATTAAATTTTATTAATTGTATAAGGTGTCAGCACTTTGATTTTATCTTGTCAAAAATAAATGTAATAAGTATTTAGTAATGCCGTTTTAAACTATTTAGCAATGTTATTTTAAACCTTTTTTTATCTACATTGCATTATTTTTAATTCGCACTTTAAAGATCAACAAGACTATTGGCAGATGTATTGGCAGATATATTGAGCCTGCTGCAGAGGTGAAAATCAAATCTCTTTAATATTTAAAATTATTGCATAATGATTTGTAGTATATTGAGCAGCATGTGTACAATCACCTCCTATTATTGTATTTTTTGCAACCAATTCTTTCCAAAAACTGCATTGGTTGTTCCACAATCCCAGCGCTGAATACAGATGGAATGTGAATTGCATTTTTAATGTTACTTTTAATTTTAGACCAGATTGTTTCCACTAAGTTTATTATTAGAATGTAGAGTCCTAAATGTTACAACTGATCTGGAAAGTTCCTAAACATTCTTTCGAAACAAGCATTGTCTGTTATGATGACCAAATCCTCTAAAAGATTCCCAGATGTAACCCACTAGTGAAACATAACCAACATCATAATTCATGTAATTCATAACCAACATCATAATTTATGTGAATGGTATTCAGTTGTTCAACCCTCGGAATTAAAAATAATGAGGTCGGCAATAATTTGCGGACCTCAATCTTTTAGAGGTCGGCATCAAGTCAGAAAAAAAAAATTGATGCAAAGGTCTTACCATAAAACATAGAAACGAGGTCGGCAATATTTGCCGACCTCAAACACTTTTAGGGTGGTAGTTAGGTCGCCATTGCCAAATGCTGACCCTAATTCCGAGGGTTGAGTTGTTTCAGTGGGTTAGGATGTACAAGGCCAAAACAGAGATAATTAAATAATTCCCTTATTTTTCAATATAATGATTAGATGTTTAACTTCACAAAACAAGTAAAAGAAATACTAATAGAACTGTAATAGCAATTTTGTAAATTCAATAAAGATTGAAAGAATTCATCGAAAGTTTATCATAACTGTCTGTAATTTAGTATCTATATAAATGTTTCCAATATAAAGTTAGACAAAAACAGAAAAATTTATCTAAATATTTCCGTAATAATAATATCAAAATATTAATCCATAAAAATTCATTTTATAGATTGACAATATTTAATTTTGATGTTGATAATATTAAAAGATCTTTTTATTAATTTATTATTTTTTATTTGCGATTAAGTTAAAATATTTGTAAATATATAATTATTTTATTTATTGTTATTATTTTTTAAGGAAATTTTTTTCGTGAACTTTATGGTGAATATGCTGGATGGGCTCATTCTGTAAGTTCTTTTGATACTTTTTTTTTTCCTTTCTATTTCTGTTCTTTATTTTATGATATATATCCAGTTAATGTGGTAGTAGATTAGCGTATATATATATATATATATATATATATATATATATATATATATATATATATATGCGTATATATATATATATGTATATATATATATATATATATATATATATATATATATATATATATATATATATATATATATATATATATATATATATATATATATATATATATATACACACACATATACAAATATATATGTATATATATACATATATATATATATGTATATATATATAAAACAGCATTGATTATGTCAAACTAAAACAAAGAGTTTTCGTGACATACATTAACTGTTGAATTGGGCATCTAGATATGAAAGACTTGAGATATTAGGACAAAAAAAAACTTTTCTTTTTTTCATTATTCTTTGTTTTTTTCTTAATTTCCTTGAAAACAATTTAGATTTAAATCATTTTTTGTTTATGAATTTGAATTTAAGTTGATGTAAATCCTATTATATTGGTTAAACTAATTGCTATCTAAAGACGGTAATAACCACAGCACTGTAGGTAGGATAAAAACTATATTATATCAATAAACATCTTCACTCAATATGAACTCTGTTTTTCAATATCGACTTTGCCTCCAATGAATTTTTATTAAATCTCAAAGTGTGTTTATAAAGTGGAAAAAAATGAGTATTAAAAAGTGGACCACACAAAAACTCTTAGCTTATAACATAACCAATTCATTTATTTATTATCTAATAACATAACCAGTTCATTTATTGCTTTCTTTATACTTTTATGATATGCTATGTTTTTTATTGCATTTTTAATGTTTTAGGATCTTTAAACACACACACACACACACACACACTTATACATAAATACATACATACATACATACATACATACATACATACATACATACATACATACATACATACATACATACATACATACATACATACATACATACATACATACATACGTGCCTATGTACACACACATTCTCATTTCTCCTACTAATACATTTATATATATTCTGCATTATATTATTAATTATATTATACAATTATACTTAGGTCGTTAGGAAGGTTCGTAGAACTCCCCTATAAAAAATAAAACAAAAGAGTTTTCAATTTCATTTTATTAAATGTTCAAAATAATGTCCATCATTATCTATACAAAGTTGCATCCTTTCAAGCTATTTGTGTAACTTTTTTTTATACTCTTCTTTGGGTATACTTTCAAGTAGCTTCGTTATGCAGGTTATTTGGCTCTCAACGTCAGTACCGTCATCAAGATTTTTTTTATCAAATTGAAAAGTCAATAATTAGATGGAGCTAAGTCTGGTGAGTATGATGGGTGGCGAATTATTGTAATTCCAGCTTGGTTTAGACAATTTGTGACGGTTTGAGTTACATGGGGTCGAGGGTTATCATGGAGAAATTTGAAATTGTAAGTGCCTATTTTATGTCTTCGCTTATTTATTTCGCATATAAGAGGTTTCAAACAATTTTTTATATAATATTCGCTAGTAATGGTGTCTCCCTTTTCAACATAACTCAAATGAACAACACCTGCTGTTTTGAAGATGTAGAACATGCTTTTCGGCTGAAACCTATCGCATCTTACTATAGTTCTTCCAACCCAACTGCATTAGCTGACTTGTGTCTAATTTTTCTCAAATAAAACCACGACTCATCCCATCACATAACCTCCATGGGCCGTTTCTGAAAAGGGCTAAATTTTCCTTACATGCCTCAACTCTATTCTTTCCATTTTGATCGGTTAACTCATGGGGTATTTAACCTGATGTTTTCTTTTTTTAAGTACGTTGTGAATGATTTTGTTGATTGTAAAACAATTAATCAATGTCAGGGTTTCAATTAAATCATGTGTTGCATGCGGATTTTCTTCAATAATGGCTTGCACACTTTCAATATTTACAGCTGTATATGTGGTTTGAGGGTGCCCTGAGTGAGGATCATCTTCAAGACTCTTTCTACCATCTTTAAATAAAGTAGCCCACTTGGCTACTTTATTTAATGTTTTAGGATCTTTAAACACACACATACATACATACATACATACACACATACATACATACATACATACATACATACATACATACATACATACATACATACATACATACATACATACATACATACATACATGCATACGTGTGTATGTACACACACATTTGCACACATTACTCCTACTAATGCATTTATATATATTCTGCATTTTTTTCTTTAATTAGGTTTTATTTACAACAGATTTGAAAAAAAATAAGTTAATGACCAAGACCAGCCTTTTGAAAGTAAGTTTGTTTTTTGTTTAAAGCATTCATCAACAAACTAGATTGTTTGCAAAATGATTTCATTTAATAAATTTTATTATTTTTAGTTAAAATCCAAAAGAAAGTCTGATAAAGATAGAAAAACCTCAAAGAAAAAAAAGCTTCATTAAGCGATTTTGCATTTCATATTTAGTAATAGAATGTTAATTAAAATAAATGATAATTTCTTTGCTTTATTACCAAGTTTTATGATGAGTTTTTTTACGACTGCAATTGTTGGCATTAATCTGTTTCAACTTTTATATTTAAAGCATTTTTTTATTATTTCATATGTTAAATGTTTTTATTTTTTTATTTAGAAAAAAATATATATACATATATCTACTGTAGCGTTTATAGATCAGCAATTGCTTAATAGTTTTGCTTAACTTTGTACCATACAGCTTTTTCTGAAAATGAAGAATAATGAAAAAAGATTGCTTCCCTATCCCAAACTCTCAGTTAATGTCAAGCACTTCTTTGATGTAGTAAGCTATAAAGTAGTTAATGTATGTACTAAAGATCCTGGCAGCAAGCTGACATTGCTTATCTAAACACCCACTCATAGCTTAACACATATATTTTCAGGCCTGGGCGGGAGTAAATGAGTGCAAAAGTGAAGAAAAGCTATCCTAAAACGAACATGTCAAGCCATTTAAGCTGTTCCTCTAACCAACTTCTTACAAGTGCTTTTGGTTTTTGCACGAGCTATCTGTTTATTCATTAAAAAAACTGCTTATTAAATACAAAATTTGGTTTTATGCTTGTTACAAGCATATGTTTGTAATATGACAAGAATACATACATAATAAGAATATATACATAATAAGAATATATACATACAAGAATATATACATACAAGAATATATACATAATAAGAATATATACATAATACGTTATTTATTGCGCCATGAAAAAAGTCTTTTGACAAACGTAATCTTTGGATTTTCACACTAGCTATATATTTATTTATTAACAGCACTACTTATTTGATAAAAAATTTGAAAATGCTGTAAAAGTTTTTATGGTTTATAAAAAATGTTTCATATTTTATTATTGTAATAAAATGCGTGAATTTTAAGAATAATTACAACAATTAAAAATTCTACAATAAAAGTGAATTTCATTAAAGTAATTTTAAAGTAGTTGATATATTAAAGTGGTTAATATATTAAATATTAAATTATATATTAAAGTAATTAATATATAAAATATATAATTCATTCCATAAAATAAAAATTAATATGCAATAATTTAGAGTGTAATAATTTTATTTTTTATCAGTTAATTTTGTATTTATCAATATAATTAATGTAATAGTATATATAAATATATAGGGTAATAATATATAAATAGTGTAATAATTTTATATTTATCAAATAGTCCAATCTAATCAAAAACATTTGCATTTAAGTCAGCGCTCTTTTTTATTTTTTTTTAAATGCAACAACCATGCCTTTTTAAAAGCATTGGAGTTTATTATGCAATTATTTTTTTTTTTTTTATAAAAATGACTTTTCATTTTAGTTTAAATAAAAATTATACTTTTGAGAGAGCCGTTAATTGCTCCCATAAATCATTTTAGGAGAATGTGGGGGATAGCAAGAGCTAAAGCTGGATTTACAATAAATATATATATATATATATATATATATATATATATATATATATATTATATATATATATATATATATATATATATATATATATATATATTGTAAATATTTTTTAAAAATAGGGTTGTTGCTTTTCCATAAGAGTCTTTATATAAAATGTGCTTTATTTTGAAAAAATATTTTAATCAATATTTTAATAATAATCAATACTTTCAGTTGTAAATTTTCTAAAGTTAAAACAAAAAGTTAATAATTTTTTTCTGAGCTATTTTTTGTTTATGCTGAATTTCTTGGCTAACACTTCTTATCACTTCTGTGTTTTTTGGTTAACATCTTATCACTTTTGTGTTTTTTGGCTAACACCTCTTATAAATTTTGTGTTTTTCAACATCTTATCGCATTAGTCTTATATTAGTTTCTTATTAAACGCTAAGATTCAATCTAAACATTTAATCAATCAAATCAAATCAATAAAGTTATTAGTTATTATTAGTTTTTATGCTATCACAAAGCTTCTATATAACATTAAAACAAAAATATCATTGGCACATCTAATTTTCTTTTTTACTTATTACAATTTTTATTTGATTTGCTATATTTTATGTGTTAACCAATCCTGTATTATTCATGTATACTGATAAAGTATTTAATTTTCTATTACTGTTGCTAATACTGTTGCTGTTACTGTTGCTAATACTGTTGCTGTTACTGTTGCTAATACTGTTGCTGTTACTGTTGCTAATACTGTTGCTGTTACTGTTGCTAATACTGTTGCTGTTACTGTTGCTAATACTGTTGCTGTTACTGTTGCTAATACTGTTGCTGTTACTGTTGCTAATACTGTTGCTGTTACTGTTGCTAATACTGTTGCTGTTACTGTTGCTAATACTGTTGCTGTTCAATTTAATGTATATGGAATAGTATTTATAAGCACATGTTTTATACTTTACTTAGAGTATTTTTGACATAATTGTATATGTTACCCCACAACATATGTGCATAGGCACTGTTAGGCTAGGTAACTTAGAAATAACACATGACTATTAGGGATGTGACTTTTTGGTAAATTTTTGGTATCTCCAGTTTCCAATATAAAAAACAGATGCAATTTGGTTTAAAAGTAACTGAAAGGTTGTTAGTTTTATTTAATTTTTGAAAAAGGCCACCCACCATGACCCTTGATTATTCTCATTTATCAGTGAATTTTCTTTTCTTTAAAAGTATATCAACCTGGGTCTCAAAAGAACCCAAAAACAACCTTTTCAATTTTCTGTTAAAATTGTTGTATATTGTATATAAAATTTAAGCAGTTCATATTTATTTAAAACCATTATTATTTATGAAATCTCTATGAAATTGTGGTTCTTTAGAGACCCAGGTTAATATACTTTTAAAGAAAAAAAAGTCACTGATATATGGGAGCCAGTGTGTAACCAAGGGTCGTGGAAAGTGACCTTTTTCAAAAATTAAATAAAACCAATGACTTCTCAGTTACTTTCAAACCAAAGTTCATCTGTTTTTTATATTGGAAACTGGAGTTATCAAAAAGTCACATCCTTAATGACTATGTTATCCTATATTGTAGACTTTTGACTATATTGCGCAGTTATTTTTAAAAGTAAGATTTGCTAAATATCTATTATTTTAATTAAAATAAATCAAAATTTATTTATGTAATTTTAAATTTATATTGTTTTAAAACAGAATAATTTAAAAGTAATAGTAACAGATATTTGTTGCAATGTTGGAAACTAAAATACCTGTAAAGATAAAAGTGGTTATTCTTGTTGGAGGCCCTCAAAGAGGTAAATATCTTTTTAGTCAGTTTTTTTATTGCTGCTTTTTGAAGTTTCAAACAGTTTTTAACATTTGGATATGTTTAATGTATACAAATTACTGTCTAAAAACCTAAATGGAATATTGGTTTATTAAAAACAAGAGAAATTCCAAAAAAATGTTAGCATATTAAATCTAGTTCAAACTAAAACAGAATAAATTATGTGTTGGTGATATTTTATGTGTTGGTGATATTTTGTTTTTTTTTCTTTTTTTTATTACTTTTATTGTTATAACCTCTTTGCTTTCTATTGCAAAATTTTTTTTCCAAATAAATTTTTTACTAGTTTTTGCATTAAAGAAATTATCTCTTAATATGAATTAATCTAAACAGTTCAATGTTTTTTATACATCTATGTATAAAAACATTTGGAATATACTTCCAAATATCATCCGTCACAAAAAAAGTATTTATAAGAAAAAACTAAAATCTTATTTAATTGTGAATGGAGATTACAATAGTAAACTCTTTAATTTTTAAAATTTTTGCTTATATAATGGTTTGTTGCACAGCTGAGCAAGTATTTTGCCAACTTATCCATTATTCTGTCAAAACACAGTAGCTGTGGGTAAACCTATGTATTTATTTATTATTTAGTTTAAATTTCAAATTTATAATTGAATAAGAATTCAAAAAATTGACTTAAAAAAGATTAACAATCTACTTTGTTTGATTTAATAACTTTAAAATGTCTACTTTGTTTAAAATGTCTTCTTTATTTAAAATGTCTACTTTATTTAAAATGTCAGCTTTATTCACTTTTAACACAGGAAAAAAAGATTCAGTTTTTAAAATATAGTTCTTAAAAAATGTATTTTTTAAGATATATTAAATTTTTTAGATATTTAATCTAATAAATAATTAATATTTATTAAATATTTATTTAATTTAATCCTTTTAATGTAATAATTTTAATAATATTATTAATAGTAATATTGATATTTGATTAATTATTTAATTACTATCCAATTATTAAAACACTATCATGCACATAAACTGGTAGTTTTGTCAATTAGCCTTTCGTTAAAGACTGTGAGATGTGCATTAAAGTAATAGTAGGATTAACTCCCTACTTTAACTATCTGTATCTTGTTGGCAGTGAATTAGTATATTTAAGAACTCTAATATTACTGTTTACTGATGAGTAATCAATTTAATATATCAATTTATTATTATTAGGTACAAGATTTCGTCCTCTGTCATTAGAAGTTCCAAAGCCCTTGTTTCCTGTAGCTGGATTTCCATTGCTTGAACATCATATTGCTGCTTGTAAAATGGTTGGTTGATTTTAGAGTTTAAAAAATCAGCAAATTTTAATTTCTATTTTTACTGTTTCTAAGATTCACAAAATAATATACATATATCATACATATATGCAGCTGATTTCATAAATGTTAAAAAAATAAGGTGTAAAGTTAGAGGATAAAACTAATCCCTAGAAAACATATCCAATATTTATTTCAGAGCATTCATTCGTGTACTGATTATTTGAAACAAAATCTTTAAAATACCTGAAGCTGGGATGAAAATCTACAAATTTTTCATCAGAAATCCAAAACAATATTTTTATCTTGTATATTAAGATCGGGCATGAAAAAAATATATATCAGCTGTTTTTCCCAACAAACTTGTACAAATGAGTGTTCTTGTTAATGCAATATTATTATATTAATATATTATTAATATCCGCAATAATTTGCTGACCTCAATCTTTTAGAAGTCAGCATCAGGTTGGCAAATAAAAAATTGATACAAAGGTCTTACCATAAACCATAGAAACAATGTTGGCAATTTTTTGCCCACATCAAGCATTTTTGGATCAGCAGTTAGGTCGGTATTGCCAAATGCCAACCCTAATTCTGAGGGCTGGTAATGATTATATTGTCTCTATTTTCTGGTTATTTTTTTCTGGTTTATAAGTTTCTGTATCATTAGGGATTTCTCTTCATTAGTTATGGCTGGATCTGCTAGTGATAAAATAACAACAGAAGGTAGAAGTTTCTATAAATAGAAAAAACCTAAACATTACTTCACATAAATTTATATTGTTTGTTCTTATCTTGGGAAAAGTTTTCAGGATAATTGCGTTTCCTAAGTATTCATTAGCCTCTTGTGCAATCTGATGCATGGAATAATTGTTTTTTAAAATGTTGAAATTAAATCTGCCTAATGAGTTAATATCTTCATTGCACACCTGAAAGTTTTATTCCTGTTATCGCTTGCACTAAATGACTGACGTGTCTCTCATATATGTGTAGGCGACATAAAAGCCACATAATTTACTTCCTGACAACAAACCTACTTATAAGCTCAATTCCTCTATTATGCACACCAGTGTTAAAAGCAGTTGTGTTAGTAAAAAAGCAAAAAAGTTATTTTTAATTTCTAGTACCCTTTTTATTTGTTTTGCTTGGTCTTTGCGATTAGGTGAGTTTGCTTAGAACACTTTTAGTAGTATATCACTACTATTATCATCCTCATGGGCCTTTACGTTTACTACAATCCTTTCCATTTTAACAATTATATTATTTTTAAGATCCTATTCATTACATAATTTACTATTAAAGTGAAGCAAGGGTTTCTTACTGATTAGAATATTTTTATAACAATTTCTAATTTCTTCCCCTTTGTTTTTGATGGTATGAATTCTGCAGATTTCTGATTTTGACAAAACAATATCTTCCAAATTATGCCTTGCAGAACTATGTCTTACAGAAAACTATGCCTTACAGAAATAAATTTGACTCAAAATATATTGATCCTGTATAAGAATCAGAGAAAAATGATTTTCAAATAAATGTTTACCCTCAAGTATATTTTATTATTAGAATATTTCCCTCTATGAATATTTCAAGTTTTTTATTTAACTTATTCTTATGTTCAATTCTCTTTCAGTAAATCATATCAATATCCTCAGTTATATACATTTTTATAGTCCTATTTTGGTTGGTAAAAAATTTAATGACCTCTTTAATTGCATCAGGTGATCTATTGTGGTCAGCTTTGATTTTCATTACAATAATTTTACAGCCTATGTTAAAAAGTGTATTATAAGTTTTTTTAGAGTTGGCATCGAGAATTGAAAGGTTTTCTTTTGAAGGGTAGTTCAATCTAATATATAAAAAAAGAACATAATTTTTCACATTTACAAGTTTAAAAGACGTTGACGGTTAAAATTAAAGAGATACTTATCTTAAACATATTGAGAAAATCTTAATTTTTAAGATTTATTTGCTTTCTCAATTTTTTGTTGAGCTTTTCAATCTTATCTCTAATGGTTAATTTTTTATCAAGGAGTCTTTTTGAAAATCTGCTCTGCACCAGATATTTACTACTACTTTGAAAGGGCAATTTTTAATACCTATCATTTTGCACCAGGGAGTTGACATTTTAGCTGATACCCTCCTTTCTTCATGGATCAACTAATATTTGATTTTATTGACTTATAATTTAACTGCTTTGAGGAAATATGGCTATATATTCTTAAAATGTCATCATTTGTTGACAACTTGTATTTTGGAAGCTCTAAAATTGGTCTGCTCAAAAAATACAATCGGCTTTAATGGTATTCATTTACATATATGATACCATAGAAAAACCATATAAAATATCCAAAAATGTCTGTTTTTAAGTTTTTACATTTTTAAGGGTCCTTAAACCCTTAAGGTGGATAACCACAAATAAAAAAAGTTTTTTTTTATGAAAAAACAAATTTTTTATGTTAAGTGATATAATTCTTCAACAATCTATTTTAACAATCGTAAGGCTAAATTTATCTAACTCTTTTTGAAAATTATTCTATTTTGGATAGTTTGTAGGTTAGTATAAAAAGCGTCATTAGCCATGACCATAGTAAACAACATTTTTTTTTATTGTAAAGTCTTTATTAACTAGCTTTTTTTAATGATCAACTGCATAAAAATGTAAACATATTAAGGTTTATTATGTTAGCTTGGTTTGCTAGTGATTACTTAAAGTCCTTATGCCAAATTATTTATAAGTTAACAATAAATAGCATTTCATACAACAAGCTTTGTTTCCATTTCAACTAAAGTTAGTCTTTATATACATTTTTTTTTCTTTGCTGAGCAAACAATTAGTTTTTTTTTTATAGTGTTTCTCATTTTGATTTCAAATATGCAACTCATTTTTCACCATCACGTCAAGCTGTAAAGATATTTGGGTTTAAATCTTTAGTATTTGGGGTAAAGTCCCAAATATTGTCGAAAAAAAAGTTATTCAAAAGTATGTCAACCTGGGTCTCAAAAGAAGCGTATATTCATATATATATATATATATATATATATATATATATATATATATATATATATATATATATATATATATATATATATATATATATATATATATAGCAATGGGAAATAAAAAATAATGAGCGAAAAAGAAAAAGAAGACTTGATGAGTTTTGGAAAAATAGTGCTGAAAACAAGAGTCAAACACCACCTCATTATATCATTATCACCGTTGTACCAACTTTCCAGACTAATTGCGGTGTCATATACTACGTCCTAGAGGAATAAATAGTTGGTATAGGTGGAAGAATTGTGAGAAGGAATTGATAATTACAAGCCTAAAGTAAATATTCCTATGTGGATTTATAATGTTATAAAGAAAGATTTTGATGACTTATCTGATGATTCACTTCTTAAAAAATGCATTCATGAAGAGACAAAATTGTAATGAAGGACCTAATAACATAATATGGTCTGGATGTTCAAAAAATATCTTTGTTACAAAATTTTTGCTTGAAGTGGGTGTTAATTCTGCAATACTTTACTTCAATAATGGTACATACGGTCTTAACAGATTTTTTAAGTTTTTTAATGTAAAATTTGACTTCATTGTCATTTCATCAAAAAGATACCAAGCGTTTAAAAAATATGCTTAAAAAAGATGATGTCAAAGTTAAAAAAATAAGAGAAAAGTTTAAAACATTAAAAAAAGGTTGGATTGATAATATAAAAGAAACTTCATCACAAAAAGCTTATTTATCTGGTGGATTTTAAATTTTTTACACTTTTGTATTTTATTTTTCTTATTTGCTTAGAATTGTATTTTAACGATACTTAGTTTGACTTGCAACATGATATCTTAATATTGGGTCAAGCAATTTACTTCAAATTTTCAGGAGTTATTCAAAATACCTAGATGAAGGGAATGAATGTAAAAATTTAGAAAAAAAAGTTTATTTTCTGTCTTTTTAGTGTTTTGACAACTCTACACCCTGAAAATATTGAAAAAAGCAATAAATGTTAAATAAAAAGGCTAATTATTGTTTCTTTCCAGAGATTTTAATTCATTCCCTTTATTTCATGGGTTGATAGACAGTTGCTAAGTTTCAAAGCTTAAACATTACTAAAACTTAAAAAAATCATGTTGCAAGTGTACGTTGCTGTTTTGTGAAAGATCTACATATTTAGCAATATTTACGTTGCAATAAATATATGTACTTTTTTTAAGAAAATAGCGGTTTTTAAAGTTTTGATACAGTTCTGAAATTTGTATTTTTTTTGTTGTGGTTATCCACCATTTTTATGTGCATAACCAGGTTATATTTCAAACCCCAAAATTTATTTTTGGGACCTCCTAATGTATACCCTTAACAGAAACTATGTTTTTATAAGTTAGTCAAACAACAAGAGAACATTTTTTAGCTTATTCTAGGCTAAATAATGACTGACCTAAATTAATTAAAGAGTAAAATTAAAAAATGTATGACAACATACAAATAATAAAAATCAGAAATAATTTTTTTTTAAAAGTAAGCAAAATTTGTAGTAGTGATTAAAAAAAAAAAGTAGCTAATGACAACCAATCAAATGCTAAATAATAAAAAATTTTCACAATATTGAAGAAAAAAATCAACTCTTAAAAAACCACTCAACAACTATTAATTATTAAACCAACAACAACTATTTAAAATACAGTGAAGTTAACAAAAAAACCTTCACAGCGAAGTTAACAAAAAATTTCACAGTGAAGTTAACAAAAAATTTCACAGTGAAGTTAACAAAAAGCCTTCACAGTGAAGTTAACAAAAAATTTCTCAGTGAAGTTAACAAAAAATCTTCACAGTGAAGTTAACAAAAAATCTTCACAGTGAAGTTAATTAACTTTGATGAATATAAAAAATGTTGAGGAAGATGCATAGTTGGCTGATATTGTTATTGATTATGTAATTAAAAGAATTTTAAGAGAGTATAATAAAGAAAAATATGTTTACTATTTCAGCACAAGACTTTGGTAAATGTTAGAGTGATCCCCAAATGCCAACACAAGTTGCGTTCATGTCATAAATAATCCCTAAAAAAAAGCTTCACTTCCAACAATGCTGCAAGCAACCACTATTAGAGTTGGAAGTTTATAGAGCATTATCATGATTAACAAAATGACTAAAAAGATTGCAAATTATATAAATCAGGAAAACAAGAAGGAGGAAGTAAATTCTAAAGAAATTATAATTTAGGAAAAAAACTAGAGAATAAGAATTTTCGGAGCAATTATAATGACAAGTAACTCAAGAAAGTCCATACAAGGACGGCTTTGAGATTTATAGAGATAAAGAATAGAATCCGAAGTAAGAAAGCGGTGAGCAGGATAAAGAGATATAACCTTAGCAGCTGCTAATTTTGCAATCAATTTGATTTATGGTTTCCAATAAAGAGTAAGAGTTAATTCTAGAAGACAAAGGGTACTGTACTTCAGGTAATGTACTTGACTCATCAAGTACATTACCTGAAGTCACCTAGTGTTCATAAATATAGGAAGATCTAGATTATTGTGATAATGATTAGCTGAAAAAAATTGAGTTTTATCTGAGTTAAAGTTCATTGAGAGCCCCATACTGTAGCAGAAGTGAGATCTTTTTCAAGCTCAAATACCCCCTTCAAGCAATCAGAGACAAGAGTAAATGGCAGTATCATCAACAGACAATGCCACCTTAGATGTGAGAATTTCTGGGAGATTAATGTAAATTTAAAAAATTATAAGGCTAAGGATAATATCTTGAGAAACCCCTGAAGTTACAGGATTTGAAGGAGAGTGCTGTCCTTCGAGGACAAATTTTATACTGCAATTGGTAAGGAAGGATTCAATAATCTTAAAGATGTTGCCATATACACCATAAGAAGAAAGCTTATGGAGAAGATCAGCATACCAATTTTTATCAAAGGCTTCAGAAATGTTGAGAGTTATAACCTTAACCTCTCCAGATTTATCTAATGCAAGGTAAAACCTATCGGTTAATACTGTTTACAAATCAGGAGTAGAATACCGTTTACAAATCAGTAGTAGAACAAGTCTGAAATCAATATTGATGACAGTAGAGATTGAGTATTTGTTAATTAAATACTCAAAAACTTTGCAGGAAATCACACTTTAGATACAGAAGCTAGAGTGGTAAGAATGTCAAGCAATTTATTATGAATTAACAGACTTACCCTTATTAAAGATTCTTTAGAAGTCATGAGAACTTAATTTTTAGATGAAATATAAAATTTCATGACCTGAGAATAGCGGGCTTTGGCATTAGACAAAACTTTTTTACAATGGTTTTTCAGCAGTAGTAAACAGACATCTGTTTTTTGGAGAATTATTTTGCTGATAGATATGAAAGTAATGGTTACAATTGGAAATTGCAGCAGCACATTGAGAGAAAAACCATGTAAACGAATGGTTTAGTTATTATGTAATTATTATGTGTCTATTATAAATATTATGTATGATTATGGTCTTATATAGTCAGTTAGGTTAACATTAAACATTCTAATTATTAAAACAAAATTTTAAAGTTTTTTTTCCTCTTAGATAAGACAATGTTTTGTATTTTTTTAAATCTTGTCAATTTTTTTAAATAGAATAACATAAATACAAAAATTTAAAACAAAACAGTTTAAGCAAAAAAGACTAGAGAAGGTAAATAATTCATATTGTCTGGAAGTCAAGATGGAAAGTTGACTATTTGTGTTAGAGATTGATAAAGACAAAAATTATAGGCCTTTATGCCTGCAGAGTCAATGACACTAGAGCCAAGCCAATCAGTGTGATGAGCATTAATGTCACCAACAACAACACTATTGGCTGAAGGACAAAGAGAGATCAGTTTGATCAGAAATTACATTGAAAAGGTCTTGAGATTGAGGAGTTGAGAACAAAGAAAAAGGCAAAAAAGACTATGCTAAACCATAGTCTAAAAGAGTAGTCTGGATTCAAACCTAGTTTTCCAACAAATGGGTGAATTCTTACACGTGTTAATGCCCAGGCAAAGCATGTGACTATTGAAGTCTTTACGAATTAAAGGAAGATAACCATCAACACTAAGATCACAAGATGAGACAGCTGAATACAAATTAATCTCACAAAAAGCAAGTAGGTCTGCTGAACTTTGCAAGAGATAAGACTCAACATAAGAAAAGTTACTTTTAAGACTACAAATGACAGATTTAGAGTACTTGGTGATGACACTAGTTTTTTGTGTTTAATAATTTTTTGTACTTTAATCATTTGTTAAAGAACTTGATTCAAAGCACAGATAGTACTTTGTACACTATTAAATAGTCCAAGCAATTGCCTCATTACTATTAATAAACCCTCAGCCGTAAAAAAGAGCTTCAAATGTGACCTTGAGAATGTACACCAAAAGTATGAACATCTCCCGCTTCCCGACCATCCACAGGCTTGGTTGGGAAGCTGGAGCGATCGCTCTCGATTGCTGACCACGTAAATAATATTTAGTTGCGAAAAGCTGGCCAGATTTTTTAGTCGTTTTGAGAACATTTTAAAAAGCAAAAAAAAAAAGCGCAAAAGATTAATTGGACCAATGAGAGACAATTACACAAAAAAAAAAAAAAAAAAAAAAATTAGCGAAACTGCTTCACAATATCACTAATGATGTTTAGTGAGTGGGCTTTTTAATTTTGATTAGTATTTAAAGCAGAAAAAAGTATAACAAGTTTTAAGAATGGCAACTTAAGCGAAAATAGTTAGAGTTAGTAAACCGAGATACTTTGCATGCGTTGTTTGTGTTTAGTAGCCAGAAACTTCTTATATGTTTGTTACATAATTAGTTTTATTAACTTTAACGACTATAACTTCATTGAAAACGCAATTATTTTTGTAAGTCTTTGTTTAAATCATAAAAATTGCTTTATTAGATTCATTACGATAAAAAACAGTTGCACAAAATATTACATTTACATAAAGAATACATACTTTTTAAATAAAAATAAGAATATACTAATAAAATCTATAATTTATAATAAACTTTTAAAATTTTGACAATTTAATTAATAAATATTTAAAACATTTATTTTTGTAAACAAATAATATATATTCTTAAAACAATTTATGCTAGAAATCTCAAAATGTAACAAATCGTGAATAATACAATTTTTAAAACATTTCAACAGAATACTAATAATAATAGAACTTTATTTCGCTTAGTCAGCGTATTTTAGAATTAGTTTGTTCGTTAATTTGGCAGGTTTTTAGTGTTCGCAAATATTCTTTTGATTCTTTCGCACTTTTTTTGAGAATGTTCAAGTTTTTTATGTTTCCATGTATGTCCGTAAAACAAAATTTTTTTGTTTCATACATAAACTTAAATGTTCTCAAAACCACTAAAAAACCTGGCCAGTTTTTTGCAACTAAATATAATTTCCGTGGTCAGTATTTGAGAGCGATTGCTCCCGCTTCCCGACCAAGCCTGCATCTAATCGCTACATGGCACTGTTAGTACTCTGATACTTTACAGTTGTTAATGGAATGATTCTCTCTCTGAGAGCTATAACAGAGTTTGGGAAAACTGACTACCAGCTGGGCTCAAAACTATTAAACTGAGTTTAAGAGCTGTACCCTCATAAAGAGATAATATAATGAGCTAATATAACATTTATTATATTATGACATTATATTAATTATAACATTTATTATATTATAAGATAATATAATAAATGATCAAGAAGATCTAGCATTCGGCATCCTAAACTGGGAACAGTTTATTATAAATACATCTATGCCAGCCTATTAGTTGAAGAAGGGGGGTGCAAGGCTGGTCAGCAGATAGAACCTTTGGAGGCCTTCCTCAAGACAGTAGCCGGATGCATTTAATGTCTGCCCAGGATGGGTATTTTTATTAAGACACCGCCTCTAGCCTTTACTCAACCAAGAGCCCCAACACAGAGAGTGTTTTAAGTCAGAGCTAGCTTCTCCTAGCCTTACAAGGCAGCAGAACATGAAGCAGGTTGTACTGGGTTACATATTACCAGTAGCAGGATATCCTGACCTGACATTGTGGTTTCAATTCAGTTGTGGGTATATATTAAATTTAACAACAGAAAACAACAACACTTTCTGTGGATTCATTTTCTGCAAATTAGTTTTACCCATTAAGTTTATAAAACGAATATGTAGCTGGTTTCATAAAGGTTAGAAAAAAATAAGATTGTAAAAGAATAAAACCTTAACCTTCTAACATTTCGTTTATAAAACAAAAAAAAAACAATGAAAGGAAAAATAAAAATAATAAATATATAGTCAATATATATATATAAAAAAAAAAAATTTTTTGTGTTAATATAAAAATCTTTATTGTACCAATTTTTGTAAAAATATTGATTTTAAAAATATTGGTTTTTACTGCAAATATATAAATATATAAAATGAATATATAATCATTTTTTCAAATTTGAACACAATTGGTTATTTAAAACTTATGAACTTATTAAATAGGTTGAAGATATCGGTGAAGTTATTCTCTTAGGTTATTACCAACTCAATGAAATTATATCACGATTTATTGATGATATGAAAAGAAAGTATAAACTCAATATTATGTAAGTAAATCATTTTTAGAATATTCAAATAATAAGCAACTTTTTTACTTTTAATTTCACATAAATTATATTTGGGTTGTTGGAGGCTCAAAATTGGCAGCTATTGTAGGCCTAACAACAATGTGTTTTTAAACATTGACTAATAAAAAAAGCTATCTTTAGAAGAACCAGTTCAAATGTAAAAAAAAGTAGAGAATGGAATCAGGAGCAAAAAAACAACAAGCAGATTAATTTTGCAATATATTAGATTTATGGTTTCTATGAGGGGTCATTAGTTTAAGGAAATGAAAAGAAGAGAACTCTGGAAGGTTGTAACACATGGCTTCTAATGTGGTTTTGACAATGTCAAAAAACACAAACAGGTTCACTAGGTTGGTTTAAAAACAATATTTTTGTTTTTAAACCAAAATATCTACAGCTCTCACCTTATTGTGTTCTATATGATAAAATAACACTTGATTTAAAAGCTTTTTGAGTAAAAAATATTTTTAGTGGTGCCTCATTTAATTGGTCCCTAATATTAATTAAAAAATATTAAAGAAGTTGTCTCAAAAGAAATGAAGTTATATAAAAATTTCAAAAACAATCATCATTTAAAAAAAAATATTGTTTTAGATTTTACTTCCTAACAAATGACATTAAATAAAAATATGTAAAGTTTCTTAGTTATATTTTTTTATGTTTTTTTATAAAATAATTATTTTTTAAATTTTTAATATAGTTTCACATCTTTTGAGACATACTATTCAAAATTTTTTTTTAAATAATATTAGGGACCTATTAAATGTTTATGGGTGTTGAGGCATTACTAAAAATATTTTTTATTCAAAAAAACATTTAAATCCAGTGTTATTTTATCATATAGAACACTTTAAGGTGAGAGCTGTAGATACTTTTTTTTAATATTGTTTTTTAAACCAACTTAGTGAATCTCATGCTTAGTATGGCAATTTATGTAAAAACTTTGCTAACAACAACAAGTCTTTTGAAGAAGAAGGACATGTGGCAGGTTGCACTAGATTACATGTGTCTAGTAGCTAGGTGATCATGAGTTAATCAGTTCATTATATGTGACACGTTTTTATTGGTTTAATAAATTCTCATAGCTCATTTGATTTATTCTTACGTTTGATTTATATTTATTTTGATTTTTATTGCTTTTTTTTTATTTTATTTTTTTATTTAGTTTTTATTGATAAAATTCTTTTCATAGTTATTTTCAAGAATACCAACCATTGGGTACTGCAGGTGGTTTGTATCATTTTCGTGATCAAATTATTAGCAAGCATGCCTCTGCTGTTATTGTTATACATGCAGATATATTTTGCATTTTACCATTAAATGAGATGCTTTCATTGTTCTACCTAAAAAACAAGCTTAAAGATGGTTCACATATTGTGTTAGGAACTCAAGTACATATGGTAAATTTTATATTATATAAATAAAACGTATTTTTTTATATTTATATAAAATATTTATTTTGTATTATGAATTTAATTTATTACAAAAATAACTTTTGTAAAAACAGAATTTTTTATTGTAATAAATTTTGTAAAAAAAAAATTTTTTCCAATCAATAGTTGAATTTTATTTAGTTGCTCAAATAATTTTTTGATATAAATTTATTTCAAAAATATTTATTCACAAAAACAAAATTAATAAAAGAACTTCAAGCATTAACCAATAAAAAATTTCAAGTCAAATAAATGTAACGTTGTAATCATCATTTAAGATTAATAAAAATTTAGGAATATTAATATGATTTATTAAATATCATTTAAGATTAATTATTTAAGATATGATCATAAATATAAAAAAAAAGTGTCAACATGCACATATTACCAAATAAACTCTGGGTTCATCACTGGTATATAAGTGGATGTGTTTGTATTTGTGTGTATGCGTGTGTGAGTGTTTATATTTATTAGTTATTTTTATTTTATATTTTGTGTAATTATTATGTAATTCCTATTATGACTGTTATTAATTATTGTTATAGTAAAAGTATTTTTAATTATATTAATATAATTTTTGTTACTATTAATGTTATTGTTATTTTTTAATATCTTCATTTCAAAAAAGCTAAAATTAGAGATGGAAGTTACTTGAAGATAAAAGAGGAAGTTTATAAAGCATGATAACAGACAACTTAAAAGATTGTAAATTGTTTGAATCAGGAAAACATGAAGGGAGTGAATTTCAAAGAAATGATGTCCGATAAAAAAACTAGACAAAAAATAATTTTTGGAGCACTTAGAAACATCATATTCATCATACTAAAAGGATGAGACTTAATTGAATAGAGAGTAACAGAGAATGAATTTTAGTAGATGGCACAATAGATGGTAGCTCTTTTAGAGCATTATAGTATTTATTGAAAAGAGAAAGAGAAGCAACATTACAACAATGTGACAATGATTGAAAGTTGGCTGCAAGAGTAGGTCCAACTATGTTTAAAATGTATTTTTGTACCCTGTATAAATGAGAAAGGTCGCATTTGAAGATCTACTCCAGATATGGTAACAGTTTTCCATACAAGGATGGATTAAAGAAAAAGAATATAATTCAGAGTAAGAAAGTGGTGAACACGATAAAGAGATGCTACCTCAAAAGATGCTAATTTTGCAATGAATTTAATATATGGTTTCCGAGAAAGTTAATTCTAGAAGATGATAGGTAGATGACTAATGGGGCAGTAATTAGATGAGTCAGATTGCTCTCCAGAATTTGAAAAAATAGGAATAACAGATACCACTTTCCAGCAGGATGGAAAACAAGACTCTGATAAGCAATTGTTAAATAGTTTTGAAAGTATATATAACAGCTCCAGAGAACAATTCTGCTAGGCTATAACAGGTATATTTTCTGGACCACAAGCTAAAGAAGAGTCTAAGTAGGAATTCACTTTAGATACAGATCTGGAGTGATACGAATGTTAAGTCACTTTTAAACAATTACTAATTGGTAACTCATTTATTAGGTAAATAATAGAAGATATGAAGTAAAGTCTACACTTTGACTCAGCAGCTCTGAATGTATGACTCATTTAGGCACTTACCGAACAAATGTAAATAACTTTTATTTATATATCAAGTATTCTGATTTAAACTTTGAATCCATTGAACTTAACATTTAAGCATTGATCTTTGAAGTTTGAAATTAGATTTTGAACTTGAAATTATATAAAAAGCAATTCACTAATTAATAACAGTAATTAAAAGTAAGTAAAATAAAAGTTTAGTTAAATAAAAGTAAAATAAAAGGTTATTAATACAGGATAATAGTCTATTTATTAATTAAATAACTATTTTTCAATGAAATTAGTCATAATATGATTTAAAAATGCAATATGTTCTCTATGCTTAAGGAAAAGTCTGTTTTTTTTTAGCTTCAAATATATTTCTAGTTGTGCTAAATTAGACTTTCACTTTTAACAGACAAAGGAGGTGCACACTTAAAAAAATTTGAGAACCTAAACTTGTAAGTTTCTTTGTCAAAGCAACTGTAATTGCGGTAGTACTCTTAATAGAAAATATCTTTAAACATATTATAATTCTTCAACAAATTTTAATTTAAAATGTTGATCATACATTATTGCAATTTTCAGAGCAGCATTGTCCTTGTATTTTTGAAAACAACTATTAAAATCTTTTTTAATTTCATCAACAACTGTTTTGATTGGTATGGTTGTTAATCAGTTTTGATTCCAGTTGCTTTGTCACAAGCATAGTCTAGAAACTTTTCCATTGCATAAATAAATGGTATGATTTCTGATGTATATGTAGGGTGTACACTCATATCTTTTGTAGCACTTTTAAAGTGTTTCATAATACATAAAAGCATTTCAGCAAGTTGTCATTGATTTTCTGTTGAATTTTTTTACATTTGTTTTAGTTCTGGTAGTTCAATACAATGTAATAACCATTTTCTGTTCACAGAACCTCTCAAGGGTATATATTGAGTTCCATCTGGTGGAGACATGATGAATTATATTGTGCTCTGGTAATTTAGTTAGATTTGAATTTCCTTTAGCTTTGTCACAGCCCTTGACTAATGGTGAAAATCTCCTGCCAATGCTTGAAAAATAGCAATTGTATCACTTACTGCTATTTGTTCTCTAATCTTTTTTCAAAAAAGATCTTTTTTTTGAATACATATTTGTAACAAGTTGTGACACATGGTAGATGTTTATCTTTCAAATGGGACACTTAAATGCTAGACATGATATTGGCTGCATTAACAGTTAACAATACCTGAATCTTTTCATGCGGAATTTCTCAAGTGTCTCAGATATTATGCCCTGCGTGAGACTCTGGGAAATGTGTGACTTGTAAGATGAAATGCCTTATTTCATAATCAGGTGTCACAAATTTAGGAGTTAAACGGCAATACAATTGGATTGTGTGCTCACATGTCATAACCATCATAAGTTAAATTGATGAAATCTGCTCTAACTTGTACTTTTATTGTTTCATGCATCAGTGGAATCACTTTTGAGAATCATTGGAATCACTTTTGAGCTGGATCTGATCTAGCTTCACTGCTAACAATTGCTGAAAAAGAGCAATCAATCATGCTATGTGCATTGTGATGCACTTTTTAGTGATGGTTTTGTAAGTTTGTTGTGGTTTTGTTTGTTTGTTGTAAGTTTCTTGTGGTTTTGTAAGTTTGTGTGTGTTTTCACTGCCTCCAGAAAAAGTATTGCAAAGTATGCTATTGCATTACCAACATCTTCATCACTCACTTTGAAGTAATACTGTAAAGGATTTTTACTTTGCAATTGTGTAGACATTAGGCACTAATTTGGTCACCTTTAATTTTTATAAAATGTACTTATTCCAAGAATTTAAATATAAAGTTAAGTTTAAAGTAATATAAAGTTAAAACTAGTTTTATAATATTTATTTTTATGGAAAGCATCTACATTTAAACTTAAAATTATTATAACGAAGTAAAATAGTTTAATAAATTGGCCTTATTATTTATTTAATATAAATTGGCCTTATCATAATAATAGTGAATAAATAAAAAACGCTTTACACTTTAAACTTAGTTTATTAACATAACCTTCATAATTGTTAGGAGTTTGAAACTCTTGTTGAACTAAAGTCATTAAAAGACGTTCTAAATTTAAAATTTAATTTATCTTGTTCAATTATTCATAATTTTAATGTTTTGTTTCAATATGATGATAGTTTTTTAAAAAGTCCATTTTTTCAATTGAGTTTTTTCAACATTCAAATTTGTTATTGAAAAAGGTACAAATCTAACTGTGTAAGTATATATAAAAAAAAAATTTTCATTGTCTTTATTTACAATTACAAAAAGCACCTTTTAGAAAAATACGCTTCAATTTTAATGAAATAATTAAAAATATTAAGCTTTAAAAGCATGTTATTTTACTCTAGCGCTAAAGTTTTGTTCAGTAATTTTTTGTTGAAACTTTCAGTATGAATAAACTAAACAGATTTACAGAAATTCACTTAAAACTTCTTTAACTTTTTCTAAAATTTCGGAGTGTTTTTTGCTATTGATGTGTTAAAAAATTGTTAATTTGTTCTAATTAACAAAAAACTAACAATTTTTTTCACAAATCATTAGCAAAAAACACTCAGAAATGTTTGGAAACTTTAAAGGAAATTAAAGTGAATTTCTGGAATTCACTTTTATTTCTTTTAAAAAAAATTAATCTACGGTAAAGTAAAAAAAAAAAAAAAAAATTTAGATGTAGTTGTAATAGTGTGTGTTAACATAGCAAGTTAAAATATACTAAACTTTGAAAATATTTTATATACTTTTTTAAAACTTTGTAAAATTTTAAAATATGTACTTTCAAAATACATCTTAGTTATTTTAAAACCTTATTTTTCGAGTAATTTTTTTTAATTTTTTTATTTTCATAACATTTTTTCATATCATTTATTTTTATATTTCATAAATCTTTTTTTTATTTTTATCACATTATATTTAATAGCCACATCATATTTCATAAAACCTTATTTTCCATAATTCTGTTTTTTTTTTACTGGTCAATTTATCAAGAAATCATTTTTTGAATTCAAAAAATGAGTTCTTTTTACATTTTACTTTAAGGATGTACTAAAAATTTGGCTTTTACCAAATTTTCGATACATCTCTAGTAATAACTATTTCAGAAATATATTGATTGATTCATTAAATCAAGTTAAACCATGTATAATTCTTGATAAAGATTTCCCCGAAAATCAGGGAATAGAGCAGGCTTCAAGTAAGTTTGCTTGTATGTTTGTAAAAATTTATCTCTTTTGGTAGGAGTGGTACTTTTAGTGCTTTTAGCTTATCTGATGTAACTTAGTATGATAAGGCCATTATACTTATAACCATGATTGTATAATTGGACCCAAATATGTTACCATTTCTATGACTGAACAGTAAATGTTTCTTAATAAGAAGCATTGAACAGTAAATGTTTTTTAATAAGTAGCATTGAACAGTAAATGTTTTTTAATAAGAAGCATTGAACAGTAAATATTTTTTAATAAGAAGCATTGAACAGTAAATGTTTTTTAATAAGAAGCATTGAACAGTAAATGTTTTTTAATAAGAAGCATTGAACAGTAAATGTTTTTTAGTAAGAAGCATTGAACAGTAAATGTTTTTTAATAAGAAGCATTGAACATAAATGTTTTTTAATAAGAAGCATTGAATAGTAAATGCTTCTCAATAAGAACAATTGAACAGTAAATGTTTCTTAATATTTCATAAACTGTTTTGTGGCTATAGTTACTTTTTTTCTTTTTACTATTTTTTTTTTTTAGTAAATTTTCTTTTTACCTTTTAATTGAACATTTTTTAAATTCAAGCCCTTATTTTTGAATTGTTCATTTGAAGTATAAGCTCAACATTATAGTAAACATTATAGAATACAAATTATATTTATAAATTATCAACATTATAGATAATAATTAGTTTTTAGTGACAAATAAAACTGTAACTGATATTTAAGAAAATTAAAGTAAAAGCTATACTTTTACTTTTTTTTTTTTTTTTTATAAAGGGAAATGTTACAACTCAGTCTGAACATGGAAACATGGTAGTTGATCCAAGCTCTTCAGAAGTAAGATTTTACACTATTCTTTCTTATTTTTTTGTGTGTGTTTGCATATATATATTTATATACTATATATATGTATATATATATATATATATATATATATATATATATATATATATATATATATATATATATATATATATATATATATATATACATATATACATATATACATATGTATGTATGTATGTATGTATGTATGTATGTATGTATGTATGTATGTATGTATGTATGTATGTATATATATATATATATATATACATATATGTATATATATATATATATATATACATATATATATATATATATATATATATATATATATATATATGTATATATATATATATATATATATATATATATATACATATATATATATATATATATATATATATATATATATGTATATATATGTATATATACATATATACATATGTATGTATGTATATATATATATATATACATATATACATATGTATGTATGTATGTATGTATGTATATATATATATATATATATATATATACATATATACATATGTATGTATGTATGTATGTATGTATATATATATATATATATATATATATATATATATATATATATATATATATATATATATATATATATATATATATATATATATATGTATATATGTGGTGTATATATTTTTCACCCTTCAATCTTCAAATCACTTTCAGAAATGTATATGCATAACTTACAAAGAGCAAAGTAATAATGTGCTAAACTGTTTTTTATATATGTATATATACATATATACATATGTATGTATGTATGTATGTATATATATATATATATACATATATACATATGTATGTATGTATGTATGTATGTATATATATATATATATATATATATATACATATATACATATGTATGTATGTATGTATGTATATATATATATATATATATATATATATATATATATATATATATATATATATATATATATATATATATATATATATATATATATATATATATATATATATATATACATGTATGTATGTATTGTATAATATTAATAATAAAAAAGATAGTAATAATAATATGGTTTTACAATAAGATTTATATCATAATTCAAGATCAACATAAATATTTTTTATTGAATTACAGCTATTGAGTTTAGTGATCAAAACAGTTTTACTGTTTTTAAAAAGCTAAAAATATTAAGACGGAAGCATTTCTAGATATCGCAATTCGCGATCACTTAATTCGAGCCCTGGTAATCAATATCAAAGTAAATTTTTTTTCTTTTTTTTTAGCAATAAAATACGTAATCATTATGTGTAGTTATAAATACAACAAAAAATTAGGCATTACAGATAAAATTACTCCATAAACGGAACAATTTGTAACAGTTGCTTATGAATATGCGAAATAACTTAATTGCAATCGTGGTACAGTGATTTGAGTTCTTTCTAAGAATCAAGAGGTCTGAGATTTGGTGTTGGCTCTGACCAGATAAGCGACATTGGTAAGGAAGTGTAAACTTTTTAGTTACATTACTATTCCACGGTGCTTTGTGATTTATGACACTTCGTCCTTCTTGGAGCACCTTAACAACATAAATAAAAAAGCTATTGCAGGTGATTATGGATTGTTGTGAGGACTTTCCAAGTTAAGTAGAAACTTTAAATTATTAGCTTATTCTTCTGTAGGCATATTCTGTTTTTTTTGTATTTTATTTGTTACTATAATAAACATCCCATTCATTAAACGTTTTTGACGTAACAGATCTTACTTAACAGGTCTTTCTCTTTTTCAATATATTTATTGTCATCTGCAATGAGCTGCCTTATGATTATAAACAAGCTAATATATATCTCTTGGATGCCTAATGTAAAGCTTGCAGTTCTTTTTTTGTTAACCCACTCTAGGTTTACAAAAAAAGCAATCATTCAGGTTTTTTGATTCATATATACAAACTGCTTCTATGACTACTGAACAGTCAATCTCATTTAATGAAACTTTCCAAAAGATAAATTATTGTTGACTTTATTAAAGACAAGTAAATTGAAGAATAATTAAAAACAACACTGAAAGTATCATACTTTGTATGATAAAATTCGTCAATTGCTGCGAGATATCTAAAGAAGTTTATTAATTTTCATTTATTTGTTTACTAGTATATGGTTTATTTGTTTATTAGTTTATTACTTTTTGTTGCAATATTTTTTATTTCAATTTAAATTCAGTTAAATTAATAGCAAAATATTTTGTAGTGAAGTAAATCAAAACAAATTTTTAACTAAATGAAACTAAAATGAGACTTTGATTTAAAATGAATGAAAGTTGCGTTTAAACAAAAATAATGAAATTATTTTTGTTTAAACGCAAAGAATGTGCTGCAAACATTTCTAGTTTTTAAGTTTTTAAATACTTTTAAAATGTTTAAAATTGAAGCACAAGGTCGACCACAAAAAAAAGCAAAAACTGAATATTGTTTATTGAACTTCTCTAAAATAATCACTTAAGAATAATTGGTTAAACAAAAAATATAGAATTTTGGATTACCACCCACCCCCTCCTCCTCCCTCTTCTCCTCCTCCCTCTTCTCCTCCTCCTCCTACTGACAATCTCAATTATTTGATTAGCAATTACAATGGAGTTGAACACCTAAAAAAAATATTTTTTTTTACTTATTGTTACCAATATTTTTATTGATTAATTGATACAAATTTTTTTTAGATTTATTTTTATCAATATTTTTATACATTAATCACTGGTAATTTTTTTTTTATAGATTAAACATTATGTTGAAAAACCAGAGAACTCAGTGAGTGCTATTATCAATTGTGGTGTATATATTTTTCACCCTTCAATCTTCAAATCACTTTCAGAAATGTATATGCATAACTTACAAAGAGCAAAGTAATAATGTGCTAAACTGTTTTTTATTATTGTTATATAAAATGCTATTTTACTATTGAAATTTATAACTGTAATGTATAATTGTTTTTAATTGAATTTTATTCAAGTGAACAAGAGGATTGCAACTCTAGTCGTAATCCTGAACTTATGTTTATTGGCAATTTGTTTTCACGCATTGCTGGCAACAACCAGTTATTTTGTCATATGCTTTACAAATCATTTTGGGGTTCAATGAAAGGTGCTGGGTATGAAATTCAGAGAGTTAAATTAAAATTGTTGTATAGTGTCTTATAATTTTTATATAATATTAGCAATGATGTCTTGCATGACAGAGTTTAATATAGTTTTCAGTTTTTAATATATTCATTTTTCTTTGGAAATAGTTCTGCAATTTTTGCAAACAAACAGTATCTCGCTGCTTATAAATCTAACTCAAGTATACAGTTGGCTGAGTTAGCTTCAAATCCACCTTTTAAAATGGAAATTATAGGTTTAAAATTTCATTATATTTTTTTTCATGCACAAAAACAATCTATACATATGTTATCTATATATATGTTTAATTATTTTTTCAATCTATTTTTTCATTCATAAAAATATCTTTGAAAATATAGGTGATGTGTATATCCATCCATCTGCTCAAGTTGATCCAACAGCTAAGATTGGACCAAATGTATCAATTGGCTGTCACTGCATAATTGGGCCAGGAGTGCGTATTCGTGAATCCATCATTTTAGATGGTGCTGAGTTGAGGGTAATTAACACCTTTTTAAATGTTAACTTTTTTTT